TAGGGGAGAGTGGGGCAGAACGGTCACCTTTTCCGACTCTGAATATTAACAACAACAAAATTAATAAATATGCAATTGATAAATACGGAATCTTGTAGTTGACAGTCCCAATAACACGATGCGAAATTGTTTTTGAATATTAATTGTACGTATAATTCTTATACAGATCATAAAAAATAATGTAAAAAAATGACCATTGTGCCTCACCTGTAGGGCACGATGGTCACAGGTGTGAGGCATTATGGTCATGGGAAAAGCGCTGGAACTAGCAGGCTTTCGCACTCGTGCATTTTTTTGACTAGCAGACGAAAAAATTGACAGGTACCGACGACGCGGCGCATCAGTCGTGACCATCCTGCCCTCTCGCATGTGTCCATGCTGCCCCACTTAAAAAATTTTTTGTTTTAATTATAACTTATTATTAAGACATCTAATTTAAAATATTCAAAAAGAACATTAAAGCTGATGATTTAAACTTTCATTTTATCTTTGGTTGAAATTTACAGGATACATTCATTTTATTTGCTGGATGACTAAAAAACTGTGCCGCACCGTGTTTTTATACTTCAATTTTCAAGTCTTAATTATAATATCATAAGTTCTTTTTTCAAGAATATTTTTGTGGAGGAAAAAAGGGTCGACATTACAAATTATAAATCAGAAAGATTTATATCAAAAAGAATTTTCGTTTTTTCATAATTCGAGTGACCAATTCACTCGCCGTGACCGTTCTGCCCCACCCTCCCCTACACTGATTGTAATCTATTAACATTTTATTTCTCTTAGCGTTTTCAGCACTTCTTTGAATTACTGATAACATGTAAGATTGTGTAGATTTTTTTTTTTAATTATAGTGTCATACGTCCGAGTACACAGATCCACTGTACTACTTGAGGCACTCGACACTTCCAGGCCCTATGGAAAAGAGGCAAGGAAGGGATGGGAGGCCTCCTATTACAGGGAGAAGAACGAGGGGGAAAGTATGCAAACTGTGAAGCAAGAAGGTCGTCTATATGCCCTTCATGAAGACCATTGCGCAGTAAAAAAGCACATGTGAAAATTTACAAAGGTACTTGCTTGCAACAGTCGTACTGGCAGGTATCTTGCGTGCCAACCTATGACCTTGCTAATAAGCCACCACGCGCTCCCAACTATGTAGATGAACGCACCTAAAAGGGATATGCACACAATTTTTCCGGAATATTAAGTACAACACAGACTCAGGGAGCAGCAGTTGAGGTCATGGCTTGATGAAAAATTTTTCAAGATTCTTATGGAAGGGGGGGGGGGTTAAGAGACTCCATAAGCAATAGCCCAATACATGAAGAAAATCTACCAAGCTTGACAGCGTATTTTTACTTATTTGTTATTGAATTTGTATGCTATTAATAGATAGAATTTTTTTTTGTTCGTAAAATTTGTTCACTTGTTACAAACTACTCCCAGCGCATTTACATCAAGCACAAATGAACAGTTTTTCTGTACTGGAATGACTGAAAAATTATTTACGTTTTACAATGCTTTAAAATAGATTAAACAATAGTGCAATACTACACATTTAATTATGACGATGTAGTGGAGCAGATTAATATTCAAGTATTATTGAATGATCTAATGATCGCTGGGTGCATAGCACGAAGCGCCTCTAGTACAGTATCAAAAAATGAAGCTCGGGTGCCAAAATGTACAGATGACAAATATTTAATGACAGTTAAGAGGGAAAACTTGCTGATGAAAACAGTTTCGAGGTTACTCGACAAATACATGTGTACACACATTGATAGCGTCATCTGCAAGCTTCGGCACCCAACTTACACTTATATGTTTTGTGATTAATAGTTGTAACGACTAAAAAAGCAATGTTCACCAAAGAATTGTTTAAATAAAATGAGTCCAAGACTTACCTACTTTTTGAAAAAGCCCTTTTACTAATTGTTTCTGTATAATATATCTTGTAAGTATAAAGAGTGTGAAGTATATTACATTAGAAATTTATTTCTTTTTGATAAACGTACAGATTCGATAATAAAAGTTTTTAAATTTCTGTTTCAATCCATGGTTGTGATATTTTATGCAGGACATTAATTTTTCGATAATGCAAATCATTACTCCTAACATGATTCCAAATAAATAGAGTAAAAAAGCAGGTGCAGCTTCGTATATATTTATAGGGTCCATAACAAGTATGTCGCTTCTACATTCTGGTGTTCTTGCAGCCCATCTGTGTACTTGTCTTATTCTAAGCCCTGTTTCTCTAATTTTTGCAAGACTGGAAGCAATAGAGAAATTATCGATATGAAGCTTTTTATAAATTTAGTAAATATACAACGATTCCTTACCCAACTTTAGCTAGTTCTACAAATGAATTGTTTGAAGCCATGAATATAGACGAATCAAGTGGTCGTACGAGATATACCATCGTTAATTGACAAGTCTGTTGATTATCAAACAGTCTTTCGATCATGGGGTAAGCTACATTAACATCTATATGATAAGCAAAATCTCCTTGCAAAATTCGTCTTATACCGACGTGAGCTGGCAAAAATTTCTCATCTTCTGGTACATTGACCCACTGTTTGTAATAAAACTGCTGTGCTTCCCAGTCCGATCTCTAACATACAAACAATGCAAGCAATTGAATACTCAGTTTGTAAATACATTATTACTTACTAAATATCAAATTAGGAACCTTAATAAAAAAATTGAAATAAAGACTTGGTTCAGCACCAAATTTCAAACTAGTTTTTGCCAACTCGTTTAATGAATCATTAATTTTTTCTAAAGGCTCACTCAATCGTGCTGATACTACACTTGCTGAATAATAATTATAAATGAGAAGGCTAAAGATCATAGTTTGTAGAAATGCTATTCTACTGGAGGCCTGCGTAATTTGTAGATCGGAGCCTAAACGAAAAATATAATATTATTATTCATTGAGTCTTTACGTACTCACAATTTCCATGCATTTTCTCAAAAAAAGTTACGTACCCTGTTGACACACACTTCCAATTGTAAATAGAAATGATACAGAATAACGTTCAAATTTGTCACTAATGTATTCCGTTGTTAAAACACAAGAAAATACTGATATTGTAACTATTATCAAGACTATAGTTAAGTACCAAGTAGCTGTGGCTAATGGTCTTAAAAAATGATTCACTTTAATGTGCTTCGCTTGCGTTGTACGGAACATGAAGCAAGTTCTAAAAGAGAAAAAAAAAAATTCTTATACTGGTAGACATTGTAATTTCAAAAAAAATCAAGTAAAAAAAACTTTTATCACTGGTAGGTCATCAAAGAAAGATAAATTTCTTTCTAAAAAATTTTTATATCGCTCACACTCTTTACTTGTAGTAAAATAAGTTACCGATTAAAATAATATTATAAATAAATGTTATAAAAGCACTGAATTTGTTTTTTGTTACAAGCAAAATTAAATGTTGTGTTTTTAACGCCCAACTCATCAAAACACTGAGACTACAGTTTTAAATATAATGTATATAAATTATTCTAATTTCTAATGTGACTCTTATCTGCTTGGAATTATGACAGTGTACAGTTTTCTTGTGTACTAGCATTTTCTTTTCCATCCAAATGTTAATTACCGAAGAGGCCAAGTAGGAATCGGTGTCATGATTGATAATCTTTCTGGAGTAGGAATACCAGTGCTTCCACCTAATTCAGCAGATCTTTCAAGAAGCATCTTTATCATGGGACCATTTCTGTTAGTGGGTTTCCACACAGTCAGCTCTTGTGCTTGAATTCTTTGGAAAAATCGATGTATTTCAGGAGTTATTTTAATATTAGAAATTGCTTAATACATCTCGATACATATCAATAGTATAAAATTATTGAAATGATGAACTCAGGTCTTTTACTCTTACTTGTTTAACATTAGTTTTTAAATCTGATTAACTACACGATCTATCTAAACTGTTTTGAAGGTAAACTATGATAACTTTGTATACTATTTGCCTGTTACAGAACTTTCCTTGATTTTGTAGCTGATTAAAGTTACAACTATTTTTAAAAATTTAGTAACAATGTGAAACCGCATAAGACATTAATGAAAAAACAAAAACCCGCAATTACATTTTTTAAAATGAGTCGTAAATAAAAAAAAAATCTAGACGAATTAATGTTTTCTACTGTTCCTCTTCAAGAAAAAAACTAAGAAGACTTTAAATATTCACATAGAAAATTTGAAATTTTTTATACGTATTTATAATATGCGGGATATGCACACAATTTTTCCGNCAACAATCTCTAAGATTTTTAATTTTTATACACGGTCTACCTTTTTTCTAACTACATTGTAAAGCCTTTAGCTTTAAATAAAAATTGAAAGAATTTATTATTAAAACATTTTTAGAACACTCTAATTTAAAAGTATGATCTAATGAAAAACGTGTTATAATCATTGTAAACTACTACTTCTTCGCTAATTAAAGTATAATGAAAAAGTTATGATATGTGAGGAGTATTTATACATATTATCATAACATTCATGAAATTTAACATAGACTTAAAACTTAACGATGTATTAACTCTTTCGAAGACAATATTTACGCTTTCCCAGTTCATTTTTTAGTTATATTTTAAAAATGTGATTTACGCACCCAAATAATGCCATCTCAGACTCTTATCTCCTAAATGTTTCTTATTTTAGAAAATTTGTTAGATTTTTTTAGATATTAGATATTTTTCTAGAAAAATTAATTATGTTATAGTCTTACAGTAACTATTTTTTATTTTTAAATTGATGTAAAAATAAAGGCAATCAAATAAATTTTAGGATGTAAGTGTCTGAGAAAAAATACGGTCTGTAATTTTTGCGATTAACTTTTCTTTTCGTTTTTTAAAAAGTTTAATTTTTAAAGCAATTAAAGATATTTTTACAGCCTACTGATTCCAAAAACTCAGGTATCGATTCAATTCTAGTGACACACTTTATATACAGTTCCAATTTCAAATTAATAATTTTTTAATACGTCATCATTTTAAAATTAGGGATCAGACCTGGCACTCAAAATTTAGTATTCTAATGTCTGTAAAATATTAAATTTTTTTTCAATTTCGACTATTGTTACGTGTATTCTCACACTTTGTAAAACTTTTTCGTCATTCTCGATTGTTTTAATAATTAAAAATAAAAATGTCTAATTTTTGTAATAGCTCAGCTCTTATGCTGCATTAGATATAAGGTTTAATCAAGGATAACCTAAGTATCAAATAAATATATTGATACAGATTTATCAATATGGTGACGTTTCGCTGTCCATGTTTGTCAGCCTCATCAGGGTTATCTTTATTAACTAAATAACACATAAAAAAACTGTACGACTTTATCGTATATGCAGTGGACGAACGGAAAGATATCTGAGTTTGCAGTACGCTCGCGTGCCTTATAAATGAATACTGGTCAGTGATTTAACATTAATTTCTAACTTTTACTGGCTCTCATGAAGAATAATGAGATGAATAACTTTAATGTTTAACATTTGGCTCTAAAAGTAATACTCTTTCCAATATTTAATAAGAACGAAAAAAAATCGATTTTAAAGTTATTTTGCAACCCCTTACAAATAATTTTTTACAAACCTTAAATGTTAGGTAAGTTTGATATATTGAGTTCATATTTCGTAAGGAATTTCTGAACCTATGTACACACTAGCAGTGAATCGTATTCTTCCTAATGAATCTGTAGCCTTAACAAGTTCTGAAATCAAGATATAAAAACGGTCAAGTTCTTTTTTTGCGCAGCATACATTTTGTATGACATTCGTAGTATAATACTGTTTAGTACTCGTACTTTAACAAAATCAAACTAAGTAATATTGCCTTTTTCCCTAACATTTTTATATACTTTCTACATAGCAAGGCATAATTGTATTTGATGTGAGGTTTGTATGAAATACCAGTCAAAAGTCAATATTACTTAGTTTGATTTTGTTAAAGTACAAGTACTAAACAGTATTATACTACGAATGTCGTACAAAATGTATGCTGCGCAAAAAAAAACTTGACCATTTTTATATCTTGATTTCAGAACTTGTTAAGGCTGCAGATTCATTAGGAAGAATACTATTCACTGCCAGTGTGTATATAGGTTCAGAAATTCCTTACGAAATATGAACTCAATACATCAAACTTACCTAACATTTAAGGTTTGTAAAAAACTATTTTCAAGGGGATATCATAACTTTTCAGGAAAATACCATTTTTAAATGTTTAATTTAAAAAACTTAATAACATTAAATGTTGCTTATATTAGAAAGTACTGGGTAGAAACAAAGTCTGTAAAACATAGCTACGGTGATCTACGACAGTCCCACTAAATTTCTACTAAAATTTGCTCATTTAAAGATGTTTCAAGTATATTTGAATGCAGTTAATTTTTAGAAACAGTTTCTT